TTTACAAATGCATAAACAATAAATACATTCTCAAAAAATCTTTTATTTTCTTGGATAAAGTAATGTATCGGAATTGTTAATTAAAAAAAAATACATTTTTTTTATACTTTAGTTTTCAGATTTAAATTCTTCGATTTTCCAAATTTCGAATTCTTCACTTTTTCCATTTTAAAATTTTTAATTTTTCAATATTTTGGTAATTTAAAAATTTTCCATTTTCACGAAAATTTTTAACTTTTGGTTTTTTCAAATTTTAATTTTCCAATTTTCCGACTTTGGAATTTTCCGAATTTAAAATTTGTGGATTTCTAAACGTTTTGATTTTTCAATTTTTTGGTTTTGTACTTTTCGATATTTTGAATTTTCGATTTTTCATATGGAACTTTTCCATTTTCAGTGAGATACATAAATACACTAATTTTTCGTATTTTCGTTTCTTCAATTTTTTGATTTTTGAAATTTCGTTTCTTTAACGAATTAGAATTTTAAATTTTTCAAAATTTTGATTTTCCAATTTTTATAATTTTCCAGTTTTTAGCTTCTCAGATGTCAATTTTTCGATTTTTGAATTTTCAGAAATTTATTGTTTGTTACATAAATTTTCGTTTCTGTTTTGAGTTTTCAAAATGAAATTTTTCGATCTTCCAACTTTCGAATTTTTCAATTTTTGAGATGTTGTTTCTTTAATTCTGTGAACGCAATTTCTTAATATTAATTAGATTGTTAATTTTTCAATAACTGGATTGTCCAATTTTCAGATACTTCAGTTTTCATTTCTTCAATTTTTTTGTGTTCAGATTTAAATTCTTCGATTTTCCGAATTTTTGTATTTTTGATTTTCGATTTTAAAATTTTTAAATTGTTAATATTTAGAATTCACAATTTTTAGAATTTTAAATTTTTGATTTTCTGATATTTTAATTTTTCTTTTTTTTTAATTTTTTCATTTCTCAAATTAGGAATTTAATTTTTCAATTTTCAGACTTTTAATTTGTCAGCTTTATAATTTTGCAATTTTTCGCTTCTTCGATTTGTCAATTTTTCGATTTTAAAATTCTGGAACTTTTCAATTTTTTATTTTTTGATTTTCACATTTTTTGAGTTTTCAGTTGTGTAATTTTTGATTTTGATATTTTTTTATTTTCAGTTAGGTCTATTAATTTTCCGTAATTTAAATTCATTTTTTTTTTAAATTAAATTTTTTTGAATTTTCAAATTTCGTTTGTAATTTTACAATCTTGAAATTTTTCGACTTTAAAATATTCGGATTTTAAAATTATTTGATTTTTCAAATTAGTATTTTAATTTTTCAAACTTTTGATTGTTCAGTTTTATAATTTTGGAAATTTTTCGCTTCTTCGACTTGTGAATTTTTCAATTTTTGGATTTTCAGATTTGTTTATTTTTCCATTTTGCAATTTTCTATTTTTTAGTGTTCCTTAAATTGTTTTGAAGCCTGAAATTGTTTCATTTTTAGCAAATTTCCAGTTTTTTTACAAATCCCACAAAAAAGCACTGCCCGTTGATTTGAAAAAAATTCGAAAAAAAAATTTCAATTTCCAGATAGCCATTGTAATTTTTCTTTTTTTCAATAATCCGATTTTTGGTCTGAATTTTTTGTTTCCAAGCTGAAATTTTTCGATTTTCAAACTTTTCAATTTTTCATTGTTTCGAATTTCCGTTTGTTCAATTTTAGATTTTGGAATTTTAGATTTTAATTTAATTTCTAAATTTTTTGGTTCTTGAATTTATAAATACATAAATAATAAATAAATTCTCTAAAACTCTTTTGTTATCTTGGACATAAAGTAATGTATCGGAATTGTTAATTAAAAAAAATGCTTTTTTTATATTTTAGTTTTCAAATTTAAATTCTTCGATTTTCCAAATTTCGAATTTTTCACTTTTTCCATTTGAAAATTTTTAATTTCTCAATATTTTGGTCATTTAAAATTTTTCCATTTTCACGAAAATTTTTAACTTTTGGTTTTTTGAAATTTTAATTTTTCAATTTTTCGACTTTGGAATTTTCCGAATTTAAAATTTGTGGATTTCTAAATGTTTTGATTTTTCAATATTTTAGTTTTGTAATTTTCGATATTTTGAATTTCCGATTTTTCATAATGATAACTTTGCAAATTTTAGCTTCTCAGATGTCAATTTTTCGATTTTTGAATTTTCAGAAATTTATTTTTTGTTACATAAGTTTCTGTTTCTGTTTTGAGTTTTCAAAATTAAATTTTTCGATCTTCCAACTTTCGAATTTTTCAATTTTTGAGATTTTGTTTCTTTATTCTTCGAATGCAGTTTCTTAATATTAATTAGATTGTTAATTTTTCAATACTTGGATAGTTCAATTTTCAGATATTTCAGTTTTCATTTCTTCAAGTTTTTTGTGTTCAAATTTTTGACTTTTTCGATTTTAAAATTTTTAAATTGTTAATATTTTGATTTCACAATTTTTAGAATTTTAAATTTTTGATTTGCTGATATTTTAATTTTTCTTTTTTTTTTAATTTTTTGATTTCTCAAATTAGGAATTTAATTTTTCAAGTTTTCAGATTTTTAATTTGTCAACTTTATAATTTTGCAATTTTTCGCTTCTTCGATTTGTCAATTTTTCGATTTTAAAATTCTGGAACTTTTCAATTTTTTATTTTTTTATTTTCACGTTTTTCGAGTTTTCAGTTGTGTAATTTTTTGATTTTGATATTTTTGTTTTTTCAGTTAGGTATATTAATTTTTCGTAATTTCAATTCTTCATTTTTTTTCAAATTAAATTTTTTTCATGTTTCAACTTTCCTTTGTAATTTTATAATTTTGAAATTTTTCGAATTTTAAATATTTGGATTTTAATATCTTTTGATTTTTCAAATTAGTATTTTAATTTTTCAATTTTTCATTGTTCAGTTTTATAATTTTGGAAATTTTTCGCTTCTTCAATTTGTAAATTTTTCGATTTTTAAATGTTTAATTTTTTGATTTTTCAGTTTCACGATTTTGCAATGATAAAAATTTTACATTTTTCAATTTTTGTTTCTCAATTTTCCTATTGTACTGCTTGAAAATTTGAAACGAAAAACTAAAAAATCCAAAAATGTACTTTTAAGTAAATATGAAAATTCAGGAAACAGTGAACTTTACATTGAAATTTCAATAAATAAAAACCGAATTTTAACATGAATAGAATCACTATTATTATTATTATTTTTTTAATTTTAGTGTTCGTTCTCAAAAATTTAGTATTCCTTAAATCGTTCTGATGTCTGAAATTCTCATTTTTGGCAAATTTCCAGTTTTTTTACAAATCCCACAAAAAAGCAATATTGTAAAAACTGCCCGTTCAATTGAAAAAAAATTAAATTCATATCGATAATTTTGCAAATTTTAGCTTCTCAGATGTCAATTTTTAGATTTGTTAATTTTCAGAAATTTATTTTTTGTTTCATAAGTTTTCGTTTCTGCTTTGAGTTTTCAAAATTAAATTTTGATCTTCCAACTTTCGAATTTTTCAATTTTTGAGATTTTGTTGCTTTAGTTCTGCGAATGCAATTTCTTAATATTAATTAGATTGTCAATTTTTCAATAATTGGCTTGTTCAATTTTCAGATATTTCAGTTTTCATTTCTTCATTTTTTTTGTGTTTTTAAATTCTTCGATTTTCCGAATTTTGCATTTTTGACTGTTTCGATTTTAAAATTTTTAAATTGTACATATTTTGATTTCTCAATTTTTCGAGTGGGAGTTCGAATTTTGAATTTTTGTTTCTTTAAATTTTACGATTTTGCAATTCTCCTGCTTCCAAATTTAAATTTTAAATTTCTCGATTTTGATGTTTTTCCTATTTTCAGTTGGGTATATTAATTTTTCGTATTTTCAATCCATTTTTTGTCAAATTAAAATTTTTTCATTTTTGAAATTTCCTTTATAAAATTTTACGACTTTGAAATTTTTCGATTTTAAAATATTTGGATTTTAAAATTTTTTGATTTCTCAAATTAGGAATTTAATTTCTCAAGTTTTCAGACTTTTAATTTTTCAGTTTTATAATTTTGCAATTTTTCGCATCTTCGATTTGGCAATTTTTCTATTTTAAAATTCTGAAATTTTTCAATTTTTAGTCAGTTCTGAATTTTCACATTTTTTTGAATTTTCAATTGTGTAATTTTTTGATTTTGATATTTTCAGTTAGGTAAATTAAATTTGTTTGATTTTTCAAATTTCGTTTGTAATTTTACAATTTTGAAATTTTTCGACTTAAAAATATTTGGATTTAAATTTTTTTTTGATTTTTCAAATTAGTATTTTAATTTTTTTAAAATTTTGTTTGTTCAGTTTTATAATTTTGCAAATTTTTCGCTTCTTCGATTTGTAAATTTTTCGATTTTTTAATTTTCAGATATTTTAATTTTTCAGTTTTCAAACTTTCGAATTTTTCATTTTTTGGAAATTTGGTTTCTTTGAATTTACGATTGCAATCTTTCGATATTTGGTTTTTTAATTTTTCCAGCTTTTCAATTTTTTGATTTCTGAAACTGCGTTTCCTTAATTTTACGGTTTTTTCAACTTTTCGATTTTTAAATTTTTGGATTTTCAGATTTTTTGATTTTTCCATTTTGTATATTTTTCTATTTTTCAGTGTTAAATTATTTGATTTTTAAGTTTCGCGATTTTGCAACAATAAAAATTTTGGGAAGATTAAAATCGACAATTCAAAAATTGAAAAATACAAAAACTGAATTTTACCTTGAAATTTCAATAAATCAAAACCGAAATTTAACACGAACAGAATCACTATTATTTTTTTTAATTTTAGTGTTCGTTCTCAAAAATTTAGTACTCTTTAAATCGTTTTGAAGTCTGGAATTGTTTCATTTTTGGCAAATTTCCAGTTTTTTTACAATCTCACAAAAAAAAACAGTATTGTAAAAATTGCCCGTTGAATTGAAAAAAATCGTCCGCGTAAACTGCCACCTTTCAAAGACAAATTTCTTCCGTAGTACGACCGTCGCCAGAAGGAGATGGACGACTTCAAAGCCTACAAGATCCAACAGAAGCGCGAGGCCGAGGAGCTGGAGCGGCGCACCAACGCCGCCACCAGGATCCAATCCTGGTGGCGCGGCGTCATGTTCCGCAAGGGCCTGGGCCCCTTCAGACGAAAGAAGAAGAAGCGCGGCAACGACAAGAAGGGAAGCGCCAGGGGGGGTAGTGGGCGAAAAAATCAAAAATAAATCCCTACAACTATAATTCCCAAATCATTTTGCAATTGTCTATAACCTCCTCCGGGTCGCTGTGCTTGAAGAACATGAAGAACCCCTGGATCTGCGCGGGGCTGACGTTCTTCTCGAAGGCGAGCACCCTCTCCGTGAACCTGGCGGCCTGCGCCGGCGCCTTGTCGCCGTCGTAGAAGCGCAGGAACATCTGCTCTACCTGGTGCGGCGAGCACCAGCCGATGTACTCCTTGAGGTCGACGCGGCCGGGGCGGATGAGGGCCGGGTCGAGGCTTTAACAAGCCGGTGTAATGAAAAACGTGTGGTGGTTGGGGATGCGCTTACCGTTCGAGGTAGTTCGTGGTCATGAAAACTATTCGGGCCTCGGTGCTGGCGACGCCGTCCAGGCAGTTCAGCAGGCCGCTGAAGGTGACGCGGTTTAAGCCCTCGTAGGCGGATTTTTGCTGGGGGGTGTCTTCACGCGAGACGAAAGCGGCGTCTATGTCTTCGAGGAGGATGATGCTCTGCTGGGGGGCGACGCTGAGGAGGTGGTTAAGGCGGTCGTCTGATAGCCCCCTTTCGGAGAGGTTGAGGACGCATATTGAAAAGCCGAGGTCTCCGGCGAGGGCGGTGATGTAGGAGGATTTGCCGCAACCGGGGGGACCGTGTAGGAGGTAACCTAAAAATCGGGTCGAAATCAAATAAACCCAGGTTCTTAGATGAATTATAAAATTTGGTTTTGCGAGTTTGAGTACTTCATATTAAAATTTTGTGATGACGTCATCAACTATTTAGCAAGGACAAGAAAAACAACAAAAAGACACGAAAAAACAATGAAAAAGGAGCAGAAAACGACAAAAAAGACAATAAAACATGCTAAAAAAAGTCGAAAAAAAGTGACAACAAGAATAGAAACAAAAAAAATGACTTAAAAAGCTCAAAAAATGGGCGAAAAAAACAGCTAAAAAAAGGCAACAAAAAAGGACAAAAATGACAAAAGCAAAAAAAAGGCGAAGAAAACTCGCCAAAAACGCCTCAAACTATAAAGACTTTCCCAAAAAGTACATGAAAAAAGAAGGTAAAGTGGGAGTTAAAAAATCCACAAAAAAACAATTACAAAAATGACAGAAAAATAAACAAAAAAAAAAAAAAGAAAAATAGGACAATTCACATAAAGAAATGTAAAAATATGCACCAAAAAAAAAGATAAAATCCAACAAAACATGTTATAAAAGTTTACGAAAAATGCGAGTAAAAGTAAAAATGACGTGAAAGAGGGCCTAAAAATATCAAAAAATTCACCCAAAAAAGGCAATAGAAAAGGACAAGAAAAAAGGACAAAAAAAGATACAAAAACAACAACAAAAAAAAAAGTAGCAAAAAAAAGCCAAACAAAAAAGTCTCAAAAAAAAGCTCAAAAAGGGACGAAACAACACGTAAAAAAAGGCAACAAAAAAAAACACAACAAAACAAAGCAAAAATGACAAAAACGACAAAAAAGGCGCCAAAAACCCGTCAAACTAAAAAGAGTCTCCAAAAAATAAATAAAAAAGGAGGTAAAAATGGGAGTTAAATAAGCGACAAAAAAACAACACGGAAATATTAAACAAAACGACAGAAGAGTCAACAAAAAAAAAAAAAGAAAAATAGGATAATTCACATACACAAGAAATGTAAAAAATGCACAAAAAAAGGATGAAAGGGGAACAAAACATCGAATAAAAATGTTATTAAAAGTAAAAATGACGTAAAAGAGGAGACTAAAAATATCAAAAAAATCACCCAAAAAAAGGGCAACAGAAAAGGACAACAAAAAGCATAAAAAAAATACGAAAACAACAAAAAAAAGCGAAAAAAGTAGCCAAAAAAAGCCAAACAAATAAAGTCGTAAAAAAGCGTCAAAAAAAAACAAAAACAGAAAAAAAGAAGTAAAAAAGCTCAAAAAAAGGGGCGAAAAAACACCTAAAAAAAGCCAAAAATGACAAAAAAAGGCGAAGAAAAGTCGCCAAAAACGCGTCAAACTAAAAAGATTCTCCAAAAAAGAAACAACAAACAATAGAAAAACGACAGAGAAATCAACAAAAAAATGAAAAATAAAAATTCGCATACACAAGATATGTAAAAAAATGCAGCAAAAAAAAAGATGAAAGGAGAACAAAAAGTCCACAACAAATGCTATTGAAAGTAAAAAAGACGTAAAAGAGGTGACTGAAAATATAAAAAAAAATCACCTAAAAAAAGGCAACAGAAAACGATAACAAAAAAGACAACAAAAAGAACAAAAAAACGATACAAAAAAAGCGCAGAAAAAAGTAGCCAAAAAAAGCCAAACAAAAAGTCGTAAAAAAGCGACAAAAAGAACACAAACAGAAAAAAAGAAAGTTGACTTAAAAAGCCCAAAAAGAGCCGAAAAAAACACCTACAATAGCAAAAAAAAAAAAGGGAAAATGACAAAAAAGGTGAAGAAAAATCGCCAAAAATGCGTTGAAGTAAAAAGAGTCTCCAAAAAATAAATAAAAAAGGAGGTAAAAATGGGAGGTAAAAAGGTCACAAAAAGAAAAAATCAACTAAAAAATGACAGAAAAATCAACTAAAAAATGACAGAAAAATTAACAAAAAAAATTTTAAATAGGGCAATTCACATAGGTACTGAAGAAATGTAAAAAAGTGCATCAAAAAAAGATGAAAGAGCAACAAAACATGGAATAAAAGTCCACAAAAAATGCAATTAAAAGTAAAATTGACCTAAAAGAGAGGATTAAAAACATCAAAAGGGTATCCAAAAATGCAACAGAAAAGAACAACAAAAAGGACAAAAAAGATGCACAAACAACAAAAAAAAGGCGAAGAAAAAAGTAGCCAAAAAAAGCCAAACGAAAAAAGTTGTAAAAAAAGCCACAAAAAGAACAGAAATAGAAAAAAAGGCGTAAAAAAATTGACTTAAAATGCTCAAAAAAGGGCCGAAAAAACACCTAAAAAAAGGCAACCAAAATGAACAACAAAAAAAGGGCAAATATGACAAAAGCGAAAAGAAGTCGCCAAAAACGCGTCAAACTAAAAAGAGTAAAAAAATTGATGCAAAAATGGGAGTTAAAAAAGCAACAAAAGAGAAAAAAAGGAATTGAAAAAACGACAGTTAAATCAACAAAAAAATGAAAAATATACAAGAAATGTAAAAAAATGCATAAAAAAAAAAAGATGAAAGACCAACAAAACATGCAATAAAAGTCCACAAAAAATGCTATTAAAAGTAAAAATGATGTAAAAAAGGGACTAAAAACGTCAAAAAAGGCACCCAGAAAAAGGCAACAGAAAGGACAAAAAAGCTCAAAAAGCAACAAAAAAAAGCGAAGAAAAAAGTAGAAAAAAAGACGAAAAAAAGTTGATTTATAAAGTTTAAAAAAGAGGCAACAAAAGAGGCCAACAAAAAAAACAGGCAAAAATGACAAAAAAATCTCCAGAAAATAAATAAAAATGGACGTAAAAATGGGAGTTAAGAAAACGACATATAAGAAAAAAAGAATTAAAAAAACCGACAGAAACATCAACAAAAATATGAAAAATACACCAGAAAATGCACAAAAAAAAAAGATAACAGCCCAACAAAACATGGAATAAAAGTCCACAAAAAATGCTATTAAAAGTAAACATGACGTAAAAGAGGGGACTAAAAACGTCAAAAAAGGCAATAGAAAAGGGCAACAAAGAGATAAACAAAAAAATCGTAAAAAAGCGACAAAAAGAACAGAAAAAATCTAAAAAAAGACGTAAAAAAGGTGACTTAAAAAGTTTAAAATGGGGCAAAAAAAAAACACCTACAAAACGGACAACAAAAAAAGAAGCAAAAATGAGAAAAACGACAAAAAAGGCGAAGAAAAATCGCCAAAAATGCGTTACATTAAAAAGTTCCCAAAAAATAGATTAAAAAAATGAAGTAAAAATGGAAGTTAAAAAGGTGACAAAAAGAAAAAATATAATTAAAAAATGATAAAAATAAACAAAAAAATGAAAAATTGGACAATTCACATATACAAAATATGTAAAAAAATGCACCAAAAAAGATAAAAAGGCTGCAAAACATGGGATAAAAAAGTCCACAAAAAACGAAAAGTAAAAATTACATAAAATATGTAACTTAAAAAGCGTAAAAAAGGGGCCAAAAGAGCACCAAAACTGCAACAAAAAAAAAATCAAAAACAAGTTGCCAAAAAAAAACCTGAAACAAAAAATAGTCGAAAAAAAATGGTAAAAACGGCGTCAAAAATAAATAAAAAAATCGAGACAAAATTAATAAAAAAAATGTGTAAAGAAAAAGGTGGAAAAAGAGTCAGAACAAAACTGATTGAAAAAAAAGGCGATGAAGAGAGCCAAAAAGGCGAAAAAAAGGAAATAAAAAACAAAATGCAAAAAAGATAAAACAGCAACAAAAAATGTCATAGAAGGCCACAAAAATTCATTAAAAAGCGAGAAAAAGTACGACAAAAAAGTGAGTAAAAATCGCCAAAAAAAAAGGTACCAAAACGGGCGACAAAAAAGGCAAGAAGGCGACACAAAGCAACAAAAACAAGTGAAAGGAAAAAGTGACAAACGAAGATGCGATAAAAAAAAATAGCAATAAAGAGTCAAAAAAGCGACAAAAAGGGAGTAAAAAAAGAAACCAAAAAAATGAAAAAGGGCAATTTCAAAAAACCGTAACAAATATGGAAAAAGGAAATCAAGCGATAGTATAAAAAAAGAAAACAAGAAATAAAAATAATAACAAAAAACGTCAAAAAAGTTAAAAAGATTACAAAACATGTGATAAAAAAATCAACAAAAAATGTGAAAACGGGATCCAAAAAAAATGCAACAAAAGCAGCCATTTAAAAAAACAAAAAAACTACAAAAATAAGCATAAAAAAGCGACAAGAAAGCGACGAATAAACGCCTAAAAACACTAAAAATGGTAAAGAACAAAACGCAAAAAAGGTAAAAAATGAAAAAATGCCACAAAAAGGCGCCAAAATTGACTAAAAAATGCAAATCCATAATATTATGTGAAGATTTGTCCAGTAAAATTTTGAGATGACGTCAGCAAGTTTTTGGAGAGGATAAACAAAAAAAATTATTATCGATTTACCATCTCTACCATAACCTAAAACACTGCAAAATTTCTAACTAAACATATATAATATATATATAAACATTTGAGTAGGATTTACTTGGCAAAATTTTAAAATGACGTCAACAAAGTGTTGGAGGGGATGATCAGATAAATTTTGGTAAGCTTACGTTTCGAAAGTTGCGTAAGAAAACTAACTAGAAGTACTAAATCTGGGTTACTAGAAAAGTATGTCATTCTAGCGATAAACCAAGGTTCCAAACTTATACCATCAATAATAACTATTAATGTTTGTGATTTTTTATGAGGTTGGCAACATATTTAAAATTTTATGATGGCATTCTCGTTGCTTATGTCAAAATTGCTAACATTGCTGCCAATAATTCAGAATTGCCAACTCAAAAATCTGTTCCAATCATTAACAGTCACCCTGCAGTTTAGTTTCAATACTCAACCACCATTACCTCTTCTATACGGGATCCCCCTCTCCGTGTACCACCCCGGATTGCCAACAAACTCCTTACAATCCCCGAGGATTTTCTCGCTTATCCCTTTATCCAGAACCACGGAAGAAATCGGTCGTTTCCGCCTGGGATGTCCCAAAGGTCGCCACTCGCTCCCCATCGCCGTATACATAATAGTCTTGCCTTCATGTTGACGTAATGCCATCTGTCTAGCTACCAAAATTAATCAATAAAGTGTCAAAATGATATTAATAGCAACTATCCTACTTATAGCTCAGTGCGGTGCCGCGAACTTGGATTTCCTCAAAATATTATTATCGGGGAATCTCGAGGAGGTACACGTGGTCATTTCCTATTCCAAAACTAACGTATTGATTTTAATAGCTCCACAAACTGAGTAACCCGCGACAGGCAATTATTCAGTCCGCCGGCGTCCTCAAAACAATCGATTTGTCCGACTACGACACGAAACTGATTTGGGAAGCCTTCAAGGGGGACAGCGGACCCCAAAACATCACCGCCGACGAATTAAGCAACATTATAGACATACTCCACGTGATACCGGAGGACGATTTATGCCACTTGAACCTCACGGACTGGACAATTATAGAAACCTTAGGTAACGTTTAACCATATTTTGAAAAACTAACCCAAAGACGTCCATTCCAGGCAAAGTGGACACGTTTTCGCGCAGCCAAGTCTCAGTCCTCGCTGACGCCCTCAAAATCCAACACGGCCTAAATGCTCTAACCCGCGCCGACTCCCTCAACCACCTCTCAAACCTCATCTGCGGCTTCTCTGAAGACGACCTCTCGAAAATCCCGAAACACGACTTTAAAAAAATCAAATCAAAAGTTTTTGCAAACTTGAACGCTTGTAGTAACAGCCAACTGCGAGTGTTGCACGACAAGGTCGTAAATGCATACGGGGAGCCCCAAACTTGGTCCGCAAGCCTCCTCAAACACATTGGAATTGTTTTGATTTCGCTCACCAAAAACGAGATTCAAAGTTTGCGCCCCTTAACCCTCCGCGGTGTCAACATTGACTTAATTAGGCAACACAAACCCGACTTATTGCACGCTTTTACCTCTGAACAACTCAAAGTTCTAATCATGCCTGAGCCCCCTTTTCAAACCGTGAACTCCCGTCCGCGCGCCTCAGAACTACAAGAAATCTGTTTCCTGATGGGTTTGTTCCTTCGGGCGTACCTTCTTCTAAAATTTTAAAGTAGATGGACTTGTCCCTCCCGAACGCCGTCAAGGTTACCGTTTCCCACGGTACCCCCATGTGTAGGTCGAGAGTGTGCTGCTCCCTGGTGCGCTCCACGCGGATCCACGTCGAGCCGTACCTGCACAAACCCGTCATTATAAAGTCGCCCCCTTGTCGCCCACTTACCGGAAAAAATGCGTACCTACACTTGGTATAAAGTCATATTTGGTTTTCACATGGCCGGTTTCTTTTTGTTCGAAGCTGGTCTCCACGCTCAAGTGCTGGGTCTGGCGGGCCCCCTTCTCCGTCATCCATTGGAGTAACCACTGGTAGGATTTGTCTCTACAGGGGACTTCCAACGTGATCATGTAGTGTCGCCTGAACAGAATTAGGGAGCCTTGGAGGCTTTTGCGTAGAAGCGCGGCTCCCGCCCCCAAGCCGAACAAACCAAAGCCTGCTCCGAAGTAGGGGTTGTCGGAGAGGGCGGATATGTACTCTGTAATCGTCATGGGGGCAAAACTGAAAATGACATAACCTCACTTTCGCACTAGATTCAATTCGTGGGGGTGTTTCTTGATGGTGTTTCTATCGCCGGGTTGTAAAATTTGTGTACACACATCTGTTGGTATTAATAAATTCCAGTTTAATTGTTGTATAATAATAATAAGTGTTTTTGTAATTTAGGTTAGTTGTGACTGTGGTTGACAGTTGGCAGCACTTGCGCACTATTTGCGCGTAGCGTCGAGAGTGAATTGAGGTTAGTTTCGTGGAAAAACAAGATTTTCAATTTTATTTATTTGTGAGGGGTTTTTTGGAGTAAGTATTTTTTGAAATTGGTGCGAAATTGGCATTATTTTGTTTTGTAGACGTTGCAAGGAGAAATCTGCTGCCGTCATTCTTTTATTTGATGGGTACCAACATAAAATAATTACTTGTGAAAGTGACAAGATTTGTGAAAAAAGCGACTTCAGGTTAAGGGTAGGTTTGCAAAATTTGTTAAAGACGTAATGTACAATCATTGCTAAGGCTGGTTCATTTTTATGGGTTGTATTGCAGAAATCTATACTGCCGTTTGTGACAAATGACGTGGTGGCGCCACCGTCGCTCGCCACAATTTTGAGGTTATAACGAAAAATGGCGCTATGAATTGTTAGGAAAAACTTCCAAGTAAGTAGTTTGTGTTCAATTAATTTTATGTCTCGCTGTGTTTTCTACAAACCCCTGACAACGTCGATTTTGTATTTGAAAATTTATTTAAAATCAGACTCAGAATACAAGTTGTTTTTACAATAACTTGTGTTTCAGAAGTCTGACGTCTGGCGCTGCAGTCGTTATTGAGGTTAGAAAAATGGCGTTTTAATTATCGAACACGTCGAATATGTCGCAACCAGCTGTGAAAAATTCCGGTGTTTTTACCAGGACATTGTTTGACGGAGAATGTATTGATTTAACTGATGATGCAGACCTCCAAACTATTGACAACAACAAGGTCCGTAATAATGTAAAACCTACTTTACAAATGAGACCAGCTGTTAATGAAAATGCAAAACTTGTCAATCAGCAGCCAGTAAAAACTATGTCTGCGCCACCCAAACCTGTACTAAAACCCACCATAGAAAACTGCAACAACAAAAACATAGTTGTTTTATCCAACCAAGTTGTATCTTTGGAAAAAGTCAAACAACACGACGGATTCGTGTATGTGCGTCCAGTAAGCACGACTTTTGAAGATACTAGAGTGGAAGAAGGCGACGTTGTGGTAACTCCAAGTTCTAAAGAAATCCGCAGCCAAAAATTCCCGATGGATCAACCGTCTGCGGATCCGCTTAGCAATATTGATAACGACGACGATGACGTCATATTCTTACCGATCGGAGCACAGCTGAAGCAACGTACGCCTCAGAGTCCTAACCAGATCCTGAAACCGGTTCAGAAGGTGGTTCAAAATGCAAAACCTGGAAGTATTATGAACAAGCTTTCTGAAGCCATATCTTCTCTAAAACCTACTCAGACCAGAACCGAAAATAGGGTTTTAGTGCCCAGGCTGCAGCACACTCAGACCGTTCAAAAAACACTCGCCAAGCCACAGCCAAATCTTCAGATAATTTCACGAAAACCACCTCAGAAAGTGGTTCAAGCGGTAAAAGCGAACCCGGGTGTGAATGGTACAAACGTGCAGTTGCAACAGGGTTCAAAACCTGTTAAGGTTTCTCCTGTTGCGGCAGCGGAACGAACTATTGCCTCATACAAACCTATTCCTGAACTGGCTAAAAACAAGATGGCGCCGGGTCCGGTTAACTTACCCAGTCTTGAAAAGTTCGGGATTGTGAATAAGGTTGGGCGTTTGAGTCGCGAGGAGGTGCTGAAAGCTGTGAAAAGTATATCAAAAGTGGGGCCACAAAGACCCAAAGTGGCGAAAAAAACCTACGTGAAAATTAAACAAGGAGACACAGTTGTGGTCCAGAACCCCTTTTCGAACGGTAGAAGCGAGGTGAACGAGGTGGTTGTTCCTGAAGATGGCGAAAAGAACAAAACCGCTAGTCAACGAGAAGACTCGACGTTGTCTCAAATAGTAATCCAGAATGTGTACACAGCAGACGATTCGTTGTTTAATTCACCAGAAACGGCTGCAATTATAACCGAGGATACACAACAGCTGGTTTTTTTAAACGGTGTTTCCAACGTGGACACAGTTCCTAAAACTCCAGTATTAGTTCAAGAAACGGCACCTCTTGCTACTAAACCCAATATTCTCAAACCCCAAAAAACACCACAAACCCCGAACCTCTTAATAGACCCGATTCGGGGCTCAGTTATCTACAACAAAGCTATCCAGAAACATGTTAAACCCGGAGACGGAAGTCCCGTGAATTTGTCGGACCTTGCGGAAACGGTGTCCGCAGTGGCCACAATAACCCCAAACGCAGACGGTAACACAGATGGTACAAACAAAGGAGACGTGGTTTTTCTTCTCTACCCCGTGGGTGACGATTCCGAGAGTGGATCCCCGTTCCAAGAAGGCCAGGTTCGGCAAGTCTTAGCCTTGGTACCTTCGGACTCGAAATTCGCCCCAGCTGCTCCCGTTCCCGACGTTACCGAGTCGAAGAAGACCGATTCAGATCTGATGCCGCCTCCTATGGTCCCGTTCTTAAGAAACATAGGAGTTAATAAACCATCACCCTCGAGTAGTAAAGGGTTCGAGCCACCACAAATCGTGGAACTCGACCCGCCTGATCCCAGTCAAATACGTAAACATCCACGTAAAGACCTGGGAGTACACAACACCCGACGCAGTTTCCCGAGTGAAAACTACATACCGAAACCATCACCTGGAGAAGCCGATCTGCAAGAACTACTCGAACAACTCGGTGGTCCCCCGCGCAAAAAAATCGCCCCACCAAGGATTCTAAAACCAGATTCACAGAAAGCTTCATTCAGAAAGGCGTTGCCTAAACCTCTACGCAAAGTCGTTGAACCTCCCGTCGTCACGCCCGTCGATATTCTCCAAATCATAAACAGAGGAAAGAAGCCCGAAATCGAAGGCAGGTGTGTGTACAACCAAGATCCCAAAAACGGTGTCCACTTCCTCGGTTTCACGAAACGGGAGATGCGGCCGGCGTCCTGTCTCAAAGAAATCAAAGCAATTATTAAAAAAGACAAGACGAAAATCACAAGACTGAGAAACAAGATGGCCGCCCAGGACCGGAGTCACGTGGTTTATTGCGGCGGCGCCAGCAACTATTTCTTGCCAGAAGGGGTGAAAACCGAGTGCGAAGAAGAGGAGGCAAGGCACGAAATTGAGTATCAGACTTTCACGTTTGAAAATAGCGAGCGACGGCACGAGTTGGTCGAGACGGAGATTCTTCCAACCATTACCGAGGTTGTGTCTAAAGTTAATCTGCAAGTTTTGCAGATGAAGCAGACGCGGAAGTCTGCGGCTCCGGCTAATCTTTCCAGGACTGAAGAAGCGCTTCAGTTGATTAAGAAAGGGCTGGAGATGATACAGAGTTGGTCGCAGGATGATAAAGTTGAGAAAAGAAAGAGAGTTGATCCGATTTTTCAAGGAAAGGGGGGTGAAGCGGAAGTGGTACAGGTTGTGGAGAAAGCTCCCAGACGACGAAAGCAGGTTATAGAGGAGAAGGAGGAAGAACCCGTGACGAAAAGAGGGCGGGGGAGGCCTCGATTAAGTAAAGACGGTCAAGAAGGCGGTGTTAAGAAAGTGACTAATGACGGGGTTGCGAAGAAGAGAGGGCGTAAGAAGACCGCCGACGACAGTGATGATGATTTATTGGTTGTGAAGAGGGTGGATATTATTAAGAATCCAGAAGTTGGGAAAAGAAGAGGAAGACGGAAGAAAATGTAACTGTAGGGTAGAAGTTACGCTAAGTTGCTTTATAATTTGTCTTAATAAAATGTATCATCTGCAATTTTTTATATCCCAATTTGGTTTAGAGCTAGTTTTTGCAAAAATAATACATTTCGTTCGAAAATGGTGTTTTTTAGACAACACGCAACAGCGCCATCTCACGTTATCGACGTAATTTAACCTGTGGCTTGTCAAAATAGATGGCGCTGGGTGACAATTGTGGAATTGAGCAACTGCGATTCTCAAAACTAGTCGCAACATTTTACGTCGAATTAGCTTCTAATTACCTCATTTTGAGTCATTTTAAAAGTAGGGTTATCTTGTAATTAAAAAACACATGCAAATGTGGTGGAAACTGATCCAGTAACCAAACGAAATTTGTACCAAGAAATTTTCCAACTTTTTTACTCTAGTAACATGATTAAGCATAGATTAGTGATAATTACTACAAATTTGGTTATTTCAACTGAAGAATAATAATAATTCTAGGAAGCTAGATATGCAACTCTTTATACACACAATTTTACTATAAATAAACAAATAATGATAAAAAGATCGTGATATCACTGTTTTTATTTTGTAAATTTTATCAGATAACATAAACTGTCAATATTGATGTTTTTAGATGGATTTTCGAACTTAATTTGTAGGCAACACATTATACACCAGAGTATTTTTATAATCTTTATTTCAAAAGCACAATATCTCCATTTCAGTGACTGATTTTATCCGATTTGAATGAAATGAATGATTTTATACTGAACAGAAATAAAATTAGTCGTTAGAATGAGAAGAAGGTGGGTGTGTGCTACTTGCCAAGATAAGACTGATTTTGGCAAATAACCCATCTTTCAATAAAATAGAGGGCGGGGCTAGTACTTGCTAAGATAAGAATGATTTTGGCAGATGACATATTTTCCAAGAAAATAGAGGGTGGGTGGGCGGGATTAGTACTCGCTAAGATAAGACTAATTTCAACAAAAGTTTTGTTTTTTTTTTCACATCCTAGATTTTATTATTAGTTTATACTCCCATTCGACAGAAGAACATAATTAGCCCCGCCCACCCACCCTGTTTCCTTTTCGGTGACTGATTTTATCCGATCTGAATGAAATGAATGAACTTATCTGAACAGAAATAAAATTAGTCGTTAGAATGAGAAGTGAGGGGGTTAATACTTGCTAAGATAAGACTGATTTTGGCAAATGACCTATCTTCCAATAAAATAGAGGGCGGGTGGGCGGGGCTAGTACTTGCGAAGATAGACTAATTTTAACAAAAGTTACGATTAGCGCTTTTTTTGACATCTTAGATTATTGGTTTCCATTCCCACTCGATAGAAGTACATGGTTAGCCCCACCCACCCACCCTGTCTCCTTTTCAGTGATCGATTTTATCCGAACTGAATGAAATGAATGATTTTATACTGAACAAAAACTAAATTAGTAATTAGAATGAGAAGAAGGTCGGTGGGCGGTGCTAGTACTTGCTAAGATAAGACTGAATTTGGCAAATCGCATATCTGCTAAGAAAATAGAGGGTGGGTGGGTGGGGCTAGTGCTTGCTAAGATAACAATGATTTTGGCAAATAACATATTTTCCAAGAAAATCGGGGGCGGATGGGCGGGACTAGTGCTTGCTAAGATAAGAATGACTTTGGCAGATGACATATCTTCCAAAAAAATAGAGGGGGCGTGGGCGGGGCTAGTACTAGCTAAGATACGAATGATTTTGGCAGATGACATATTTTCCAAGAAACTAGAGGGCGGGTGGGCGGGGCTAAGATAAGACTAATTTTAACTAAAAAGTTTTGTATTTTTGTCACATCCTAGATTTTATAATTAGTTTCAATTCCCACTCGATAGAAGAACATAATTAGCCCCGCTCACCCACCCTGTCTCCTTTTCAGTGATTTATTTTATCCGAATTGAATGAAATGGTTGATCTTATATATTCAACAAAAACAAAATTAGTAGTTAGAATGAGAATAAGGTGGGTGGGCGGTGCTAGTACTTGCTACGATAAGACTAATTTTAACAAAAAACAAATACGATTAGCGCTTTTTTTTCACATCCTAGATTTTGTTATTAGCAGTAGGCGGAAATTTATCTTACGGATGCAATTCCCCAGTTGAAGCAAGGTGTGTTTTACGGCGAGTAGCGGGGACGCTTTGATCTGGTCCACAAGGTCGTTGCCAGTGCGTCGCTAGGAGTGTTTACAGCTTGTTAAAAAACTACTTCTATATTACTATATTACTTAAAAAAATAATACTTGATGCCCTTTTTAATTTTTCAAACACAGGACCACAGATTTGTGATCTTGAAATGTTATATTATGTTGATATAGTCCAAAATAAAAATATATTTGTAATCAAAGTATCGCCGCGACAGCACTGGATCTACCGTATGAAACACAATTTCGCCCGTTGGTTATTAGTTTCCATTCCCACTCGATAGAAGAACATAATTAGCCCCTCCCACCCACCCTGTCTACTTTTCAATGATTGATTTTATCCGAACTGAATGAAATGGTTGATTTTATATACTCAACAAAAACAAAATGAGTAGTTAGAATGAGAATAAGGTGGGTGGGCGGGGTTGGTACTTGCTAAGATAAGACTAATTTTAACAAAAAAAGTTTTGTTGTAGATTTCGAGGTCTAGAACTCAAATCCGATCTCGGTTCTTTGATAACTGCAACCGTTTTTCCAGAACTGAGCGTTGAATTATCGAAATTTTTGAAATTTTCAAAAATTCGCATTTCATAACGATTTTTTCGAAAATGTTGCTTCGTGACCATCAACATGCTATATTTTTGGAATCAGCGTGTCGAGATCTATGTCTCTGAATTTTTTCATAACTTTTAGACAACTTTTTTAAAATTGAAATTTTTTAACGGTCTCCCCTTCTTCAAAATTCGGAAAAATTTTGACATTTTCGAAATTTAATTAAACTCATTTTCTTGTAGATTTCGAGCTCTAGAACTCAAATCCGATCTCGGTTCTTTGAAAACAGCAACCGTTTTTCCAGAACCGACCGTTGAATTATCGAAATTTTTGAAATTTTCAAAAATTCGCATTTCATACAGATTTTTTCAAAAATTTTGCTTCGCGACCATCAACATGCTATATTTTTGGAATCAGCGTGTTGAGATCTACGTTCCTGAATTTTTTCATAATTTTTAGACTACTTTTTTGAAATTGAAATTTTTAATGGTCCCCCCTTCTTCAAATTTCGGAAAAATTTTGACATTTTCGAAATTTAATTAAACTCATTTTCTTGTAGATTTCGAGCTCTAGAACTCAAATCCGATCTCGGTTCTTTGATAACTGTAACCGTTTTTCCAGGATCGACCGTTGAATTATCGAAATTTTTGAAATTAGCGCTTTTTTTCGCATCCTAGATTTTATTATTAGTTTCCATTCCCACTCGACAGAAGAACATAATTAGCCCCGCCCACCCACCCTGTCGCCTTTTGGGTGATTGATTTTATACGAACTGAATGAGATGAATGATCTTATACTAAACTGAACAAAATTAGTAGTTAGAATAAGAATAAGGTGGGTGGTCGGTGCTAGTACTTGGTAAGATAAGACTGATTTTGGCAAATAACATAGCTTCCAAGAAAATAGAGGGTGGGTGGGCGGGGCTAGTACTTGCTAAGATAAGACTAATTGTGGTAAACGGCATACCCTCTAAGAAAATAGCATGAATAGAAAATTTCGTTATTTCAAATTGTACACACAAAAACGATTTTGTAATAAAAATGCGAAAACTTCGTTGAGGTTAGTTTTCGAAGACTTGACACAAACGTCAAAATTGCAATTTCTTACAGAACCACAATTACACCCACCAAATTAAAAACGGAAAAGAGGTTGCTTTAGGAAATCAAAGGAGTAGATTTGGCAACAATTGTATATTTGTAATTCATTACAATTAAAAGATTTAAATATATACAAACGACGCAGAGTAATATACAAACAATAAAACTATAGGATAAAGTGAATCACACTATTTTCCAGGACCTGGAACAAGTTAAAACGTATCAACAAACCAACATTAAAATCATATCAAGGACAATAGTTAAAGAACACAAAAGTTATATGTTGACTGGCTTAAGTAAATATGGCGTACGAGTATAAAATGATGAACTACAAACTACTAGGATAAGAGAGTAAGTCTCCAAGTGGAAGTCGAAATGTAATATTAATAACTTACGTAAATAGTAGGATTATGATTAGAGTTTACAAAATGTCTCGCGTGGAGTCTTCACCTCGCTTACGTTGGCACTGAGGAGGTGCAAATGTCAACAATAACTCACAAAAGCTCACGTAACTATACATCCTGACAACTTCATATTTACAAACTTCAAATTTCAAAGATTAAAGCTTAGAAACATGCAAAAATGATTGTATCTTCTTAGATTACCACTCAAATCACAGCAAGTGTGCATTACGTACAGTGCGATCAAAATCGCTAGTGCGTTAAATAGCAAGACGAAACTTTAGCACCACTAATAAGAGGGGTCTCAACGTAACTCAAGCAGTTCTGCTGGTGTTCCGAAGACTAACGAGAAGAGAATTTCTACTTCTAAAAATACGAAAGCTTGTAGGACGGATTTGTGCTGAAACTTCCAAAGTCGCTGCTAGTCGGATAGAGCTCAAGCGTTGTCGTTGAAGAATTCGGGGGAAGGTAGGTACTAAAATCCCTGATGGTATCAGCGGTTAACAACATCAACTGTATATACATACAAGCTCAAATTATCTAATCATAAAAAAATACATTTCGATGATAACAACGAAGAAGTACTCTCACATGAATCGCAAATTATCTGTAATCTTAGTGTTAATGTATCACAAGTGCCATCTATAGTCGACGGAGGCGCCATCTGCGGCCAACATAGCGACACTGCTCTCAACCTGTCACAACGCAATAAATAAATAAACAAGGGTATAATATTTTATTATTTTTAGCTTAAATATAAATATAAGTGATCGTGGTTGTTTTTGACACTACGAATCGATAAAAATAAAATCGCGTTGGGTGTAAACATAACCTTAAAATTCCGCGTTCAACGATAAAAGTACGTAGGCTACGTAAAATTCTTGTTTCGTGGCGCCCCCGCGCTCGACTAAACAACAAAATGTACATATATACAGCCGAACAACATGCATTTAGTCCTTAGTACAATAATAAATAACAAAAATTGAGCTTCGTAACAGTCCACTGCCGTCCCAACATCCTATACTGTATTGGCATCACTCTATACTTCTAGATTCAATAAATTAGAAAAATAACCCTGACGCGACCTCCACACGGTCCATCATTCCTTCGTTGTCGTCTCCTCCTTCGTTTCCTTCTGCTCCTGTTTGGGCTTAGGCGGTAACTTCAACTTGAGGGGATCCCTCAACCTCCTTAAATCTAATTCTAATTTAGCTATTTGGTCTTTGAGAACGTTATATTGATTAACGTCAAAACCAGTCTTTTTGGCTCTTTTGTGGAGGAGTAGCAGGTGCTGTCTGTCCCTGACGTCGTTGAGTATGTACTCCTGAAACACAAACAAAAGACGCTCGAGATGAATACACACGGACACACGCTCGGGTCTCGGTCTCACCTCCCGCGTAAGTACGAAGTAGGCGTAGGCGGCCATGGCAGTGCCGTACGTGACGAAATAAGTAACGGGCTCCATAATATCCCAGGAGTACTCCCACCACGTGAGCCTAGCCAGGATCCCGAACTGCACCGACATCAACCCCAGGCCGGCCCAAGCCATCCAGTTGCTGCGGCGGTTGGCCACCTGCTCGAGCTCCAACATCTTCTGCTTGAAAAAAGAAGTGTAACAAACGACTTTACCGACTCTGATCAAGCAACAACCACAAACAAAACATAGCCACGCCCCCGGTCCTAAACGGGCCACCACCTCAAGCTAAACCCCACCAAATCAAGCGATCACGTGACTGCGACGCGGCTCGCCGTTGGCGCGAAATCGGCGGCATTAATCAAACGCGACGCCGCTGGTTGGTGCGGCCGTATAAATTACTGCGCCTAGTCTTGGCCGGCGTCCAACGTTTCGGCCTCCGAAACGAAATTTACAACGACGAGATGTTCCACTTTCGGCGTTCCATCTTCAAATTGCCTGCATCGCCGTAATGGAGCGGTTCTTTCTTGATGGAACGAAATTATCAGCGAACAATTTAGATTTCGCGAGTCCTCAGGCGATTCTGCGGAAATTTCGGGAAGATGCGGTCTCAATTTGATAAAGCGGGGAGACGCAGCGAGATGGTTTTTAATTTTCCCGGTAATTGGCCTGTTCGGAGTTGCGGGGGGCATTGTTATGTGGAGTAATACAGAAGATGATTTTATGAGAGCGTCGTGTACGTAAATTTCAGCTGAATTTTATGCGAAATGTTTTATACCATACTTATTTTTACGTTCGTTGCTCAATATTTCGAGCAGAATTCAGTGAACGTTGTAAGATCCTCATCCCTAAGTAATTTCTAATTGAAATTGAAATTTTAAATTTTTTAATAATCAAGAGAAAGAAAAAAACTACTGGACTAGACAGCGGTAGGAGGGAGGCGAGCAAAAAGGGGGAAAAGAGAGGCATATTAGAGTAAAAAGAGAGATCAGGTCAGGTCAGGTCAGGATTGCCTTTTCAAAGCAAGATTTATTCGTTAACAGCATTAAAATTTTATAATCCTGCAACTCTCCTACACAAGTTTTCACCCACATAATATTTAACTAATCATACACAAAAAACGAGAAGGCGACAGATGGAGGCGAGTGGTGAGAGAAAAAGGGGCAAAAGACAGGCAAAAAACAGGCGAAAGAGAGAAGCAAAAGAGAGCGGCGGAAATAAAGAAGGAGAGAAATTTTTGTTAAGGTATTCCAGATAATGTCGCAATAAGGCAGAAAGAGGGTGAAAAAGAAAAAGGCAGAGAAACAAAAGAGTACGATAGATTGAGGTAAAAAGAAAGAGGTGGAAAATGAGGCGAAAATCTTAAAAGAAATAAAGCGGGCCAAAGGGAAGGGTAATAATAATAATACTAATAATGAAGGTAAGAGGAATGAGGTAATGAAAGTAAGGGGAAAGTGAGAAGGAAACTAGAGAGGGCAAAAGAGAAGGAACGACAAAGGGATGAAAAATAAATGCGTGAAAGAGAGACGAGAGGCGACAGAAAAAGGGGCGGAATAGAGAGTACGAAAGGAAGAGAACAAAAAGAGGAACAAGAGGAGACAACGAAGGGAAGGAAGAGTGCAAAAGAGAGAATGAAAGAGAAGACGAAAGAGATGGAGGATGAATGAGGGAAATATAATAATAGTTTGAATTTTCGTCAGCGTATTACCGAAAACGATGAAATAAAGGGTGAAAGTGGAAAAATGGAGAGGGAGAAAAACAGAGACGAAAATATAGATTGTTCTGAGTCTTTTGAAAGTAAAGAAAGGGAACCAGCGGAGATGGAGAGGAGAGAGTGGAAAAAACCAAGAGGGACAAGGGTAGGACAGGGAGTGGACGAAAGAGAGATAGGGGCGAAGAAAGACGAGAAGCAATAGAGAAATAGGAGAACAAGAAATATGAAATGCGAAGAAAAACAAAGAGGCGAAAGAGACAGTGAACGGGAGAGGACGAAAGAGAGAAAGTGAAAGAGAAAGGGCTAAAGAGAAAGGGTGGAAAAGAGAAATGTAATAAATAACAGAATTTTCGTTAACGTATTTATTACAGAAAATGAAGAAATGAGGCAGGGAGTGGGTGAAAAAGAAAGGCAGAGGGAGAGATTGAAAATGAGGAAAAAATACTTTGTTTTGATAGTTTTGAAAGTAAAGAAAGAGGACTACCGGAGATGAAGGGGAGAGCCTGCGAAAGGCAGAGGGAAACGGGAAGACAAAGAGAGAGGAGGGAAAATAGACAGAAAGAGGGACAAAAGAAAAGAAAGTCAAAAACGGGGGGGCAAAGAGAGATAGCGGTGAGAAGAAAAGGAGTGAAAAGGGGACGAAAGAGAAGGGTGCGAAAAAAGACGAGAAGCAATGTAGAAATTGGCAAACGACACAGAGGAGAAGCAACAGAGAAAGGAAGAAAACAGGGAGGGGGCGAAAGAGTGAGAACGAAGATTTGAGTGAAAAAGAAAGGGCGAAAAAGAATAGGCGTAAGAGAGTAAGTGGAAGAGAGGGAGGCGAGAGAGAGAGACAGGCGAAAGAAAAAGATGAAAGAAACAGGTGAAGAGAGAGGTGAAATAGAGACGCGAAAAAGGGAAGCGCAAGAGGGAGACGAAATAGAAAACCAAAAGACAGAGGTGAAAGAGAAAGGGAGAAATAGAGAGGGCGAAAGTGTGGGAAGGAAAAAGATATAGCGTAAGAGAGAAGGCGAAATGAGGCGAAACAGAGACATAGAAGAGAAACGGAACGGGAGAAAGTCGGGGAGGCGAGAGAGAGGCAATAAATTAAGGGAGAAATTGAAAAAGCAAAAGAGCGTGAGGACGAAATTGAGTAAAACGAAACAAAGACAAGCAGAAAGAGAGGCAAAAGAGAGCGGCGGTAATAAAGAAGGAGAAAAATGTAATAATGGTTAGAATTTTCGTTAAGATATTCTAAAAAATGTCGAAGGCAGAAAGAGGGTGAAAAAGAAAAAGGCAGAGAAAGAAAAGAGTAAGATAGATTGGGGTAAAAAGAAAGAGATGGAAAAGGAGGTGAAAATCTTGAAAGAAATAAAGGGGACCACAGAGAAGGGTAAAGGGAAAATAAGAAGAAAAATAGATAGAGCGAAAGAGAAGGAACGACAGAGGGACGAAAAAAATTGCGTGAAAGAGAGACGAGAGGCGACAAAAAAAGGGGCAGAATAACGAGTGCGAAAGGAAGAGAGCAAAAAGAGAAACAAGAGGAGACAACGAAGGAAAGGGAAAGTGCAAAAGAGAGAAGGAAAGAGAATTACCGAAAATGATGAATAAAGGGAGAAGGAGAAAAACAGAAGAAAATATAGATTGTTCTGATAATCTTGAAAGTCAAGAAAGGGAACCAGCGGAAATGGAGAGATGACAAGGGTAGGACATAGAGTGGACAAAAGAGAGATATGGGCGGAGAAAGACGATAAGCAATAGAGAAGTAGGAAAATAAGAAATACGAGATGCGACAGAGAAAGGAACAAAAGAAAGGAAAAATAAAGAGCGGAAAGAGAGAAGCGAAATAGAGAGGACAAAAGAGAAATGACGAAAGAGAGAGGGCTAAAGAGAAAGGGAGAAAAAGAGAAATGTAATAACAGAATTTTCGTTAACGTATTTATTACAGAAAATGACGAAATAAGGCAGGGAGAGGGTGAAAAAGAGAGACAAAGGGAAATATTGAAAAAGAGGAAAATATACTTTCTAGGGGAGAGTCTAAGAAAGGCAAAGAGGGAAAGGAGAAGACAAAGAGAAAGGAGGGAAAATAGAGAGGGAGCAATTGAGAAGACGACTGAAAGAGCGACGAAAGAAAAGGGCGTCAACAACGGGGGAGGCCAAAGAGAGATAGCGGAGAGAAGGAAAGGGGACGAAAGAGAAGCGAAGAAAGACGAGAAGTAGTGTAGAAATTTGCGAACGAATGAGAGGAGAAGCAACAGAGAAAGGGACAAAATAGAGAGGGGGCGAAAGAGTGACAACCAAAATTATAGTGAAAAAGAGAGGGCGAAAACGAATAGGCGTAAGAGAGAATGCGAAAGAGAGGCAGAGACATAGAACGGGCGTAAGTTGGGGAGGCGAGAGAGAGAGAGAGAGAGAGGCCAAAGAGAAGGACGAAAGAAAGATAAATTGAAAAGGCGAAAGATAGTGAAGACGAAAGTGAGAAAAGCGTGAGAGTGAGAGAGAGAAACAGACATAGAGACAGCGAAATAGTGAGTACGAAAAAGGGAGTGAAAAACAGAGGACGAAAAAGATTAAGCGTAAGAGAGAAGGCGAAACAGAGGCAGAGAGAAACGGAACGAGGGAAAGTCGGGAAGGCGAGAGGGAGAGACAATAAATTGAGGGAGAAATTGAAAAGGCGAAAGAGCGTGAGGATAAAAGGGAGGAAGACGAGAGAGAGAGAGAAGCAGAGAGAGTCGAAGGAGAGAGGCGAAAGAGAAAGGGAGAAATAGAGAGGCAGAAAAGAACGGGCGAAAGTCAGGGAGGCGTGAGAGAGAGGCGAAAGAAAGAAGCAATAAATTGAGGGAGAAAATGAAAAACGAAAGAGATTGAGGATGAAAGTGAGGAAGGCGAGAGAGAGCGAGAGAGAATCAGAAAGAGACAAAAGTCAGGTGAAACAGAAAGGGAGAATGAGGGGAGCGAAAATGAAGATCAGAGTGGGCGAAAAAGAACAGGTGTGAGAGAGTAGGCGAAAGAGAAGGAAGCGAGAGAGAGAGGCGGAAAAGAAAGATGAAAGAAAGAGGTGAAGAGAGGGGCGAAGAAGAGAGGCGAAAGAAAGAGGTAAAGAGAGAGGTGAAAAGACAGGCACAAAGGGAAGCGCAAGAGGGAGACGAAATAGAGAATCGAAAGAGAGATGCAATAAATTGAGGGATAAATTAAAAAACCGAAGGAAAGTGAGGAACGCGAGACAAAGACAACAAGAAGAAGAGGCAAAACAAAGAGCGGCGGAAATAAAGAAGGAGAGAAATGTAATAATGGTTCGAATTTTCGTTAAGATATTCCAGAAAATGTCAAAATTAGGCAGAAAGAGGGTGAAAAAGAAAGAGGTGGAAAAGGAGGCGAAAATCTTGAAAGAAATAAAGGGGACCACAGGGAAGAGTAAGGGGAAAGTGAGAAGGACAATAGAGAAGGCGAAAGAGAAGGAACGACAGAGAGACGAAAAAGAAATGCGTGA